TTCGACACTGTTGAAACCACCTGTGTTTTGATAACTGATAATCCGTAATTGAAATACTGTTAAAAACATAATTCTTGAAGGAACTGAAGCCAACAGACGCCACCCGCTGGAACAATTAAGTGGAACCTAAAGTGTACGGGGGTGAAGTTTGTCTTCGCTCAACGGGGCTAAAGTCACAGAGCCCTGCTGCTGCGATGGACGTACTTTCCTGGCGAAAAGCCATTCTGTCATGCCAAGAAAGTGCTAATGCAGCATTGTACTGAATTAGCAGCGCATTTTAGGTTTTAACGCGTGCTTGGAATTTTTTTCGCTGATCGCTGACGGAAAAGCGTTGAAGGAAAATATTCCGCGAAGTAAAACTGCAGCATGCCTAGAAAAAATCACAAAATTCACAATAGAGCAAGAAATTCAACACATAGAACAGAAAGCAGACGATCAGTTCTGTCGTGAGGACTCCGTGATTCTTCAGGATAAATTTGTCTTTGGTCCGCCATGCTGAACTCTTCTATCGAATGTTTTTCATGATGGAAAGCCTAGGATTTTCCCGTCCGACGTCTAAACCCTACAAAAAGCTGTAACATTGTGACAGTTGACAAAATCGGTAGCCTTTACGAATGCTCGTTTTTTTTTTGTTGCCAGAAATGTGTCACCGGTCGGAGTTTCCTTTACGACAAAAATCGTGCTCTAACTGACTTCGCCGAAACAATCCGTCACTTCTGCATGATTATGTTCCAGACACAAATCGAACGTTTATCTGTGGGAACGACAGGAATATCCGATACCGGAACACGGAATTCCATTCGAAACACAGAGAAAGGGTGTCTATGGGGAATCCCTTCCTCCCGGAAGCTCATGTCACGAGTTTGGCATGTTGAGTGATTTTTCAAGCAAACTAATTTTTTCCTGACGCGTAATTCGTGCTTATCAAGAGAATAACAGTCAAAATTGTCGGAGTGAGAAGTGAGGGTTTTAAATGTTCAAAAATATATTGAATTCAACATTATGCGGAATAACGTTTTAAAGAAGAAAGTACTATACTGTAAATTCAGAAGATGTTTCAATGATAGCCCGATATAAAATATAATATATATGACATCACCGCATATATCTCGAATTGCATTCTTCAAGATAATTATACCATCAGTGTCTCAAGAAAAGGCAAGAAGTGCCTCAAGGCATAATTATGGACTTCGCAACATGTTTTCTTCAATTAATCTAGATATGGTTTGACTACACGTGATAAGACTGATACGATACTGTTTTTTCCATGATTTTAAAATAAAAAGAAATGCAAATTCCTTTTGAAGAAATTTGGCTGAACATCGTGAGTAGACTTGTGTTGCAAGTTTGAAATTAATGATTCTCTTATCGTAAAATGTGCGGCATAAATTTGAAGAGACCACTAAAAATCGCTGTTGTTTTCGTAGTCTAGAGTTTATGCAGTCTTCGATGGAAAAATAATTGGGTTTTTATTTTTGTGGAATCGAAAACTTCATTTTTTTATAACAAAATGATTTACTCGTATTTTCCCTGAAAATGGTATAATTCCTTTAGGATTATGCTCTCCGCCCACCCTCTGCAAGTGGCTTACACTTGTAATTAATAATGTAATGTTTATTGGATAAATTCGAACTATTGGTTGCTGTCACACATTTCGAGTGTCATTCAAGTGTTTCACCAAAAAGATACATGTTTCAATAAATTTAGCCTTTCCAAGCTTTTCTGAGAACATTTTCGGAGCTCTAAAGTGGGTTTACCCTGGAAAAAATGGACTTGGAAAAGACGCGCTTCATTTAAAATTTGGCCAAAGTATAATGTCTACCGTAATAATCTTCTGAACCTCCGAGAAATCTTGCAGTTATTTTTATTCAAAAATAATTGAAAAATTGGCTTAATTAAGCTGCGATCTTTCTTTCATGCATTGTATTTTGTTTTAAAAAAAATCAAAACTGTCGGAAATCGGATGAAAGCTTCGTTTGTAACTTTTTCTCTAGCGGGCGGAATGAGCTCGCACCAATGCATTAGGGAACGCCGGAACAGTCGGAAAAATGCGTTCATGATTTCCGCGGAACAAGTCGTGACGAAGTAATCATTATTTACCCGTTCGTACGTTGTGAAATGTGGGGCTCTTTTCAAAACAGGATTCTCGTCTCATTTGTAAACTCGATTTTTCTCTTTTATCGCGCTCCTTCGAAATCGTACCCAATCATTGAAAAATTCCGAGCACAATTTACGGACATTCCTCCAGGTGGAAGTTTCTCAGAAATTAGCCCTAAGGTAAATACTGTATCAAGAAATTTTTCTTTCAATAATGGGCCATATCTTAGTTGGGATTTAAACTTCGTGCATACAAATTTAGTACTGTATATTAGTTGTACATGAATTCAAGGATTTAAAAAGTAATATTCTGGCATCCATAGTCCCTGTCATTTGATAATCTGAATGTTGAACAACCGCTCAAACTGCTGTGCTTGCTATAAATAAATTCCAAACAGCATAGGTTGCTGGGTGCGGCATTGACTTCCGTTATTAAGGGCAGAAATTTAAGGAAATTGAGACATCATCAAGATGACGGAAAATGAACAATTTCATGTTAGCAAGAAACGATCGAGCAGTAGGTTTTAACACAAAGGAATATGGTTTAGCATGTTTTGAGAAAATGCTTCTTCCATCTGAGAAATCAAACTAAGCGGGAATGTGATAGAATCTCGCTTATTGGTCAACATAATCGTTTTTTATGCCAGGGATTTAAAGTATTGTTGAATTCCTGGGGAGGAGATGCGGCCTATAAATTATCGAGTAATTTTAGTATTTTGTATCCCAGTGCACAAATTGGATGAGGAATAATTACAATACCCGTCTTCTTTTCGGGTAAAACGCGCACTGAACTCCCGTATTAATTCTACTGTTAAATTTACTCGTCGTTTGTGGTTCAAAAATGGCAAAGGTTTTGCGTCTGAATGGATGACGAACTCACGTACATTTATTTCAGAATCAGAGAAGTTTGTTGATCTATTCAAACTCGAGCTATATACCAGTGTTTTTAGTTCCTTTGAAACTAAAGACACAGATCAGAATTATAATTATTGTACCGTTCTGGAAATGTCGGTATTATAAATTTGTTCGATTAAAATCATATGCCTATGCTGGTATCTTCATTCCGCGTGAGATTGCGTTGGTGAAAATTAACGTGGACTTCAAAAAATGTAAATAAAACCGAGATGCCATGAAGAATAGGACACAACCCGATTTTCAAAGCAGAGTTTTTTTTAATACGCAAATAATAGTGCATCTGATGATAGTTGGGTAAATAAGGTGCTGGGTGCAATATTCGAAACTGCATCAGGTTCCCGGGAAAGGTGAGCGAAAAGGTGAGTCGAATGCAGTCGAACGGAGCACTCCCGACAGGAAACGAAATCCGAGCCTTCATTTACCTCAGGAAGGACGACGTTTTTATGAAAGCATATTTTAAGGCCCCGGAAGGTGGGACAAGTCCGGAAATTGATACCGCAGTGAATGGGATTGATGCGACGAGGGCTGCGGGATCAGAAATAGCAGGGGGAAATCGGGGGATGTCTCACCTGGTTGATGACTAGCTGGCCGGTGCCAGGAGTGCGGCCGACGGAGAGGCAGTTCCTGGCCTGGGTTTCGTTCAGGATTATAAATAACCGCTCCGCGCCCGGCTCATCTGGCACAACTCCCAGCATTTCGAAATGCGACGACTCTTCCAGGTAGCAGTCCGCGGCAGACAGCGGCGCCTGGAATAAAAAAAGAATTGTGGCCCGGGAAGGGGAAACTGGAAAACAGAAGCAGAAGCAGAAGAGGAAGTCATGTTTACTGCGGGGGTTGTCCGTCACAGCGAAAACCGCTGGGAGGGCTGCGGGGGACATTTTTGCGGGGGTTCGTGCGCGACGTACACGAGGCCGACGACCAGCGTCGGGGAAACGGTTGCCGGAAGCTTTTACCTTTTCCCAAATGGTCAATTTACCGCTGTGACGACGACCGACGCCGTTGCTCGAGAGTGTCGTATTTTTATTTTGGATTTCTTCTGGCGTGGTTTCATTTGCCCCGGCTGCATATGTACAGTATACAACTCGCATGACGTAAACCGTCCGCCGTTTTCGGGGACTACGAAAAAAGCGTCGCTTGGAGCAACCGAACCGAGATTTCTTTCGCAGTCGAGACACCAGGCGCAAAATCGTTTATCTTTCAAACTTATCTTCATTAAACGAGAAAGTGCGTGTTCCGATGAGATTTTGTTTGGCAACTGCCAATCACCGTCACATTTTATGTTCTTTAGAATTCGCAAGATCCTCGCAGCTAGAACGAGACTTATTTTAAATGTTCACGTATAGGCGGAAATATATTTGGAAGCTGAAGAAATAATTTGCAGTTCCTATCCAATATAAATATCAAACATGGAAATTATGACGGAAATTTTACGATTTTTCGGCCATTTCAAAATTTCCTGGCGAATCCAAGGTTCAAAAATATAAAGGAAGATTTGTTGTACTAGATGCAACAGGAGTAGTTCCTATTATTTTATGAAACGGAAAATTTTCCTCAAACTTGATGCTTTAAAATTACCAACTACATATTAGACAAGAGGTGCACTTTCGTTTGCTTTTCGGTGGAACTAACCCTGCCAGTTATATTTTGAGATGAACGGCTGTCATGTCACTTCGAAAAAACATTCTGACGCAGAAAATTTTCCAGACGCTTTCTCGCATGTGGTATTCACTTTTAGTCGTCAGTTTACTAAATTGCTGTCATATCATGCTCTAAAATTATCCTCAATGATAAAGCATGGCTGCAAGCATAGATGAAAGATTCCTCATTTGCGTTGCTGCACCGTTTTACATGTAAATTCAAGACACCGTCGATTATAAAGTAAAAATATGTGAAAAATCACAAGGAATTTAACAGCTGTAAAAAATTCACCAGGGATTTTATATCTAGTAAAAGGCCATCACTACACATTTCAGCGACCATTAAGCTAAGGTAAAGATAACATGAAGCTGGGTTTTTAAAAAATGGTACATTAATTAAAAAATAAGTAAAATCTAGACTGAAGTGAGAGTTGATTCAAAGTGTGACGTGAATACCCACGGGAATGTATTTTCTTGTATTTTATGCATGCATTGTAAATATTATGTTTTTAAACTACGTAAAAGTCATTGGCACAGTACTTGGTACCGGGAAGTTATTGCTTGAAAGCGTTATTATCCATAAACAGGTTGAAAACTCAGGTCAATAAGATGCAGCCTAATTTTCGTGCGCCAGAGAAGTCTTAGAGTTCATAAACCTGCGCCTCATATTTTCGTCAATCCAGTAAGTTTTCCAAGAGGAAAAAAAGAACAAACATCCAGTTTGTCGAGTCATGAAGTCAAACAGGTGGCTATAAACCTGATGGATCCTCGCCATCGCCGTGAAAATTTCCCAGGATTTGAACTGACAACATTGGTCTTCATTAAAAAAGGTGATCTTGGTAGAAAAATAATACCGTATTAAAGTTGTTTTTAAAAATGAAAAAAGGTGAGCTAGGAGCCGTCGTCCCGCGAAGTGAATGACTTGGCTATGCCGCAACTCCCGTCGCGAACGCGGAAGTGCGACGATCCCTGCTCACGACCTCACGCTGATGTACGTCGCGGCGACGGAAAGCTTTTGTCGCTGTCGAGGCGACAGCTAGAATCAGGCATAACTGTGACGCAGGAAAATTGAAAATTGATCGATTCCCGTTGACCTGAGCTCACTGATCCGATTCCATGCACGGCGTTCCAAATAAGCGAACCAAAGAGGTTCCACGCGTTTTTAAAGTTACTTAGAATATGAGGGGTTTTTTTCAAACTCTGAAGAAGCTTTCGGTCTCGTCACCCGCATTTGTACGTAAATATGAGGCGCCATCGATTATGAGACAAACCTTAATTTAATTTGCAGCTCGAAATGAAAACGCCTGCCATAATGCAAAACCTGCTTGCATCGCGTGAAATCAAGTCGGAGTGACAGAAACCCATGATTATTTTCTAAATTAGATTATTTTAACAAAGCAGCTTCCATATAGTATATGTGCTAGGATGAAGCCTAGGCCTGTGTGTTGTAACTCATTTTCCAATTGTATGCATGAAAAGAGTCGTATCAGCTCAACAGCAACCTCTTTATTCAAGCTCGATTTCGTGGTAGTTCTTCCGAGCTTGTCACATTCCTCATTACAGCATATTAAAAACAGTTTTCAAATTATTTCCAGGGGAGATGAACGCTTGCGCGCTTTTTTACCACGCGCTGTGAGGAACTGAGGATGCATTCAAGCTACCATATTCAGTTTTTGCGGGTAGCTTGCGTCACCTATGTGTAAAATTAGTAAAAACAGCGTCAACGTTGCTCCTCGCTGCTCACAGGGAGCAGAATGTATGCTTTGTTAATGACGAGGTGAGAATCCTTGCGACGCAAGAACTTTCTTTCTGTTTTCGCCTGGAAAGCGTCGGCGTTGTCGCGAATAATGACTTGACTCAAAGTTTGTTCTGGCGACAGCTCTTCGCATCGACGCTCGACACCTTTTCGACAGGAAGAACAAACCAACGATTTCCATCGCGCTTGTTTGATCAGCCAACTACATAATAGTACGCGACGTCCTGTTACTCCTGTACGATAACGCAAATGTAGGCTGCGTCCGATCATAAGCCGCGGCAAATTTTTGAGCATGCATTAAAGGGGTAGAGATTTGGATTTTCTATAAAAAGTTTGTGGAAGGAAAATGTCCACTCGGGAAGAATCTGATAATTTTCCTAGAAATGGAGTTCCTGCAGTTTCCGAGCGCGTGATGAGACTTAGATAACCGCAGACTTAGTTCCAATGGGAAAAGAGAATAATAGAGAATTACTTAAAATTTTATTTGTGGGAATAAGCGAGTCAGGATGATAAAGTATCCAGTATTTTTCGCTGCTATTCCCAAAGTTCCCTACCAATATCGAGCATTTAAAAAACTCACATGATACCAAAATGTGGTTAATACTTGAGTCTTATAGACCACATAAAAATTGCCAAGCGATGATCTAAATCTAGAAAACTGTACTTTACAATTTTAGGAAAGAAATTCGCAAGCTTAGGAATCAGATTCACACCTTTTGCTATTTTCGAAGCAATACGCCTGCCTTGGAAGATTGGGCATTGAAAAAGTCGCCGTAACGTCGCACTTTGTAAAAATTTAGCCATCAAGACGGGGTTTAAATTCACAGACATGCTAGCGAAGAGCCAATTTGTTCCGCTTGATTTAATGTGTCCGAAGTGCGCCAAGTACTATTGGGCCTCACAAGTATCAGCCATTCCTTCCGGCCACAACAAAACACATTCCGAGGTATCTTAAAGAGAAATAAGAATTCGAACGAGCTCGTTCTTTGGGGTCGCAAATGGCTTTCGTTTGTCTAACGATCTCGAGAATATTCTGAGATTTTTCTTTACCCTTCTTTACATATGAGCTTCGGATGAAAAAGCGGGTTGAACCCACCTAGGTTTCATCTTAGGTCCAACGTACGTACGTGTGGAATCTGTCGAGGACTGGATGTGAGCTCCGTAATCCGATACGTGAAACGTGATGCTCTTTGGCAAACTCATATCCGCAAATGAACAAAGAATTGTTTGCCACACTGCAGGTGGATTTTTTTTCTTTTCTCGACAGCTATATTCACAGCACACCGATGTACCTTTGGTCCTACAAGACCATTTATACTGAAATAAGAATCTAAGCATGTCCTTCACTACTGAAGTATTCCTGTAAGAAATTAATTTTTGGCCCAACCAGGAACCTATAAGGAAGAAATTAACTTCTTCTGACATTCAAGTCTTCATATACAATGCGGTACTGTTAAGTTCTCAAATTTGAAAGCAATAGAAAAATAAAATTTAAATTGCTGGAGAGTAGTGAAGCATAGTTCATTTTTCAAATCATACTATTTATTTCCGGAATTTATCATCACCTCGATATCTCTGCAGCTTTTAGAATTAAAATCTTCCCAAGTCCTCAGATTCATTTGATAGCGTCTGACATTTGATGACATCATATTCGCATGTGAGGTGATCGGATTTTTCCTCAAAAAAATATTTTCTGTGCTAGTGGTCCAAAATTCGATTCAACGAACTAATTCGTTGATTTTTTGGTAACGCCATAAAAACATGTTCAAAAACAAAGCGCTCATCATTAAAAGTTATGTCTCTGAGTATTATTTTAAATATGGCTACGCATTCCAGGTGATCGAGATGGGAATCCCCTTCTCAACACCCTCGAGTTTAGATGATTCATCGACGGATTTCCGATTATGTATATTAAATTGAAATCGTTGCGGGGAAAATTGTTTCGAGTTGAAACATTAAAAAATAGGTATGCTTCTTTATAAGAATATTGTCGCATGATGTCCGAGTAAAGACAGCATCAAACCAGTTTTGCAAGCTTTGGGAAAAATTGCACACAGGTTTCCATGTTTCCAGGCAAAATGGCCAAGACTTTTCTCTGTAATATTGCGGGGAAAGCTCGAAGAAATAATGTACGGCACTAGCTATACAAATACTGTGGATCGAAAAGGTGGTATCTCGAACCCAGCAAGCGCATCCGAGCAAGGGTCAAGGCCATGTGGAGCCTCACACGACCTAGCTCATTAAAAAGAAAATAAATAAATTGCCGAGGCATGAGTTCCCAACTTTTTTCTATCTCTGCCTGACGTTCCGGGAGGAGAAGGGAGTCGACGCTACTACGACAAGCGTGGCGGACGATGTTGTGACAACACCGAAGACCTTCCTTCGCCAGACTTGGCACCTGGCCCGAAAGTGCGAAAATCACACCAGCACGGGTCAGGGTTTCCAGATGGCCGCCGCGAGCTTTTTAACGCGTGGGAAGGTCAGGCCTGATCGACACTCGCGTTCAATGCGATTCCCCCGGCTGAACTTTCTCAATAAAAACCCCGCCTTTAAACAATGCTTCCATCAGTAAAAAAAAATTCTGACATTCATAGGATGATCCATTCATTTTGAGCGAAAGCAGAATAAATGGACATGGAACTTTTACCCTGTTTTCCCAACTTGATTTTTCAAAAAGTTTGACAATCTTTCTGTC